GCTGCCCATCCCCCAGTTACCCCCAAGGCTCCCCGGCGCCGGGGAGAAAGGATAGATTTGGCTATTGCCATCGCCCGCCAAAGAACGCCAAAGATCAGGGGAGACCTGACAGTGCTCGAGCACTGGGACCCCGGAAACGCTGCTGGGGGAAAGTCGGTTACCGGTAAACTATATGTAAGGTGGTAGCGGTAAGTTACATTACTGCACAGTGTCTGTACTCGAGCTGTGTCATTGGTAGGGATGGAAAGCTACTTGTACCGTACTGTACTCGAGTACTGGCAACGTGCTAATGCAGCACAGTCGCACCTGGGCATGGTGAACGCAGAAAAGTTGCTCATTACAGGGATTAACCAATAAGGCTGGAAAGGCGGCTAGCGTGACATACTGATCACAGCCTTTCCCTTCACTCCCCGTTCACTATGGCCAGGTGCAATTGTAGGTTGTTGCCTTGGGGAATTTTTCTTTCAAAGTTTCGGCAGTCAAGGAGGTTCTAGCTTCGGGCCAACAGCTGCCCTCTCCCCGATTATGCACGCCAGGTGGGGGGCTATTTTGAACCCAATTCTTGGAAGCATAGCCCCTGTGCTACACAAGGAGTCGGTCCCCGTAATTATAAAAGCTCACTTAATACTCACGACTTGTGGGAAGGGCCGCTTAAACAAAGTTACGGCAGTGAATCATCATTGATTTGAGCTTCGGAAGATAAAAAGCAGATGTTTGTGATAAAAGTGCCTCCCACTGTTACCAGACTAATTTAAAATCCAACCTCTTGCCTTTGCGAATACAACTCGTTTGCCACGCTTATGATATTAGCACGTATTCGAGAAATCCCGGTTGTCCTAACATGAGGTACCGGCTATGTTAAACAGCAAGAAACTTGAACTGCTATCATACTAAATCCGAGAATGGTGTACTCGTAGTGTGATGGTGGCTTGGAGCATCTACCGCGTACCCTTCCCATTCAGGAAAAATTTGCCCTAAGGGCTGCAGACATTTGACATCTTAATCGAGCCCCAATGTCCCCAGCAAAGGTTCAAACACTTTTAATCCCACCCTTACTCTCGAAGATCATGGAAAACGAGCAGTGCTGTACTGCCTGGCCCTAGCGACACAATTCGTCGCGACCTTCGGGATATTTCTGCTCCGCCGAGTAGGTCCCATGAACCTAGGAGCTCAGAAAACCCACTAAGTTAGTTCTACTTCCCTTCCTACTCTTATCCCCTGTTTGGTGTGTTCATCTTTGAACTTAAAATCTAAATCCCGGCCCACATCCGTCAGTCGTCAGTCAGGCTTTATTTGAAGCTAACTGAGTGTAGCGATTGGTTGGATACCGTTAGGGAGGCGCGAGGATGGAGAAGAGGCAAGTTGCAGGGATGGGGATGACACTAGCAGGTTCCTCACCACCCGGCTGCAGCAACACCAGGAGCGAGCACCGTATTGAGAGATGCGAGGAGTGTGACACTTGCGGTGGCCAAGAAGGGCTCCCGGGTAATGGGATGAACGGGACAGGACAGCTCTCCCGGTGCTGGGGTGAGACTGTCAGAGTATATGGGTATCTACCCAGAAAATCATTCCCTATTGGCCTTCGGGCCTTGCCTTCACCGGGTAGGAAGGGCGAATTGGAGTTGCTGGCCCTAGATATTAGTGGTAGGCAGTGTGAGGCGCCGGGGAGCGTCGGAAGCCGCGGAGCTCTTGTTTTGTTGGGTTTCTGTTTATACATGATCGGGTCGATGGACCGAATGGTTTGATGTGGAGGTGAAATAAATCTCGATCTGCTATCCCATCCAGCTGTCAGACTCAGTGCGGTGTGGAATGGGTGATACCCCAAGGGCGGTAGTGATCCAACACCCTATCCACCTGTAGACCCTATATGCCTATGGCTCAGGAAATATCACTCGATCGTCACCTCTCCCGACTGTTGTAATAGTGACCCGGACAACTGCTACTTGTAGTATAGTTATGGGTCAGGGTTCTCATGGCGCTAGAAAAACTCTGCACGCTAGACTCAAGTATAAAGAGGTGTTCTGTCCTCTTTCTGAATAGATAACAACAATTCTTCTTTCAATCCGGCGCTGTTGCTACACCGACGGTAATACGGGAAAACCACCAGGATATTAACTCAATAAGGAAAACACGCTTCTATGACAGCTATTGTGAACACTACAGACAATCCAAATTCCTGATAATGTATGGGACTAGCAAGTAGCGTTTCTTTCTCTCCCCGATGGAAAGTTTGGGATATGTGGGTGAGGGTGTTTTGCCTGTTGCACGATATAATGTATGGGCAATGCACTGGGCGGGAGCTGGCGTAGGTATATATATAAATGGGTTATTGTGGAGATATCATACCCTGTACTCATTACCTGTACTATACGGGTTCTGGTAAAATAAATAAAAAAGGGAGAAAATTGAGACCTGGGTTCATAGGGAGCCTTTGATGGCTTGAGCCCGTCGATGACCCGGCTGATGCCACAGGTTTCGCTGAACATTTCCGCTACCTTAGCATGTCTCCGTTTCGCAGCTCAGAGGAGGTGTTCCACCATATTTATCCGCAGTGTTGGGAATGACATCTTCCTGTCCTAGCCGGGGTAAGAGAGCGAGATGGCGTCGTACTTGAAATGAACGAAGAGCCCTTCCTTCTATCATAATTCGCCCTCCCCCTAAATGGGACATCTCTTGCATCCTGCTCAGCCAAGATCTGGGAATCAACAGTTCCCACTCTCAGCAGCGGTGCCCAAACGAAAATCCACTCCCCCTCGGACTAAAGCAACCTATTTAGCGATAACCCCCGCAGACAAGTATCGCTAGCAACCACGCGGACCTCGGCCATTGGCAGCGGAACCACTCAAGCAGAGGCAGCGAAAAGGCGACCCAGGGTCACGAACCAAACATCCACCCACTTCCACAACAATTCCCACCATCGTACTGTACATCGGACGGCCGGCCATGTCCCTACAACAGTCGCCAATAACCTAATCCTCGTAATTTACAGCACCCAAACTACCGCTAATCTAAGACCACAATCACAAATCACTCGCATTTACGAGTGATGAAAAAACTTGGGTGTTGGCATTCGCACACCTTTGCTGAGAAAATCTGACGTAAACATATAAGAAGGAAAAACAGGATTACTCGGTATTAAAGTTTAAGGTGGGGAGTGCAGTTTTACGGTATTCTATCTCCCTATACGAGTGGTGTAATTTACAGCAATATACCGTACGGTATCAATCCTGCACTGCGCTGTACGAGTACTACGCGATGGTAACGTACCGCATTATTCGAACTCTAACCTTGAGCCCGCAGACTGCTCCTATAGACTATATACCCACCCATCCCACCGTCGAGGAGCAGCAGAGCTAAATTTCGATAGGCTTAGCTGAGCAGGTTAGCGAAATTATGCACACCAGTTAACGGAAGGCAAGGGGAGTGTGGCGGACGGCAGCGAAGAAAGCAGAATTTCAGATATCGAGATCAGCAAGAACACAGAGCTTCCAGTGCGCAAAACCAGATGGAACCAGTGCGAGTCATATTAGGACTAGCTAGTAACATCCTCGGCGTTCAGGGGACCTACGGTACAAGCAATACCCCGTCCAATCTGCCCCGCTTTAGCATTGAGTGATCGATCCCGTCGGGTTGATCGGCTGCCGCGATAACACTTATTCCCCTGCGGTCAGGGAGCCTACCGGCTAGTATCGAGTTCCGCACCAAGAGCGTATGCCGCGTGGAAATGATTTGGGCCTGAGGGAGCGGATCTAGGGGAAGGGGGCAGGGAATCGAACTGATTGAAAAAGACAACTGAAGAAAACAGGCAGAGAAATGAGAGAAAAAAGGATGTATATAGGAGTGGTAGATAAATAGATCGGTTGGGTTTTTCGGTTATTCACTTGTGCAAAAGAATTGGTTCAAAGTTCGCATAATTGTTTCCAACTAGTTGGACAGGTCTTTTATTATAAGACTTGCCGCCGTCCATGCTATGCCTGTGTGAGTGAAGTTTTTCACACCCAGCAAGGGAGGAAAAGGGTTTCTCTTCTGAAACAAGAAAGAAACAAGAAAGAAATTTTCAGCTGCAGGGGAATAAGAGATCAGACGACTAGATAATGAAGTGGATGAAATTGAGGACGCAGGGGACTATAGGGGACTGCGGGGGACTGCGGGGGACTGCCCAGGACTATCATTTTGTCCCTAGAATTTTGTGCAGCAGGACCGTGGTCCCCGGTAGTCCGTCTAGACCTACCGGTCCCGAGCGTACTCCGTCCCGGCCCTCCCAAAAGACGGACTACTAGCTATCCCATCACCGGCCATTTTCGCGGTGTCAAGAAGGCCTCGCCGAGAAATAGTTGAACCCGGTGACGCTGGATATCCACCCGCCCACCGAACCAAAAAAGGAAAGGAACCCATTCTGACCCGCGATAATCCGAAGAATTTTAGAAGACCACATCATAAGCCCCTGTTAACTTCCTCCCTTATCCTCTGGAAATCGTACAACATACACAATGGCAGTAGCTAGCGCGAAAATGCAAAGTACGATGACAAGACCCCGCCTAGTGCCTTTATAGAAAGCAAAGAGGTCCAGGCAACGAGAGAGCTCTACCCAACAGTCAGCTTGGGGTACCGGTTTCTCAGGTATCACACGATACTACTCACCTATGATAACCTAAGTGCGCATGGAATACTAAATCAAGAGAAGCCCCCACCCCCCAGCACCCGAAAGTCTCTGGTGGGAGAGTTGTCGAAGTTTATGAGTGATTGTACTCGGGTACTCGAGTACCCAACCATCTAACAGGAGGGAAGGAGGACTGTATTATACTGAGTCTTTAGCATAGCCGAGAATGTGGAACCTCTATCCCACTAGTAATGCTTTTCCAACCCTCCGATACCGATACTCTAGAAGCCTAAACTACTGCGCGGAACCTTCACTTAGAAATATCCCCATGATGCCGTGCCGGATCACATGCTACCTCGGGGGAACAAGATACATGCCGGTATACAGAGTACAGTACCGGTACTCGTAGGTGCCTACTAAGCCTAAGTTAAGCAACAGCCAAGTCTAATGCGCAGGCACGTTATGATGTAGTCTACAAGTAGTCTCCCCTCATTCCAGAACAATCTAAACACCCGGAGACCTCACAACACCTTCTTTTCATATTGCCGAAGTGCTGTGCCAAGTCTCAACGATATTTCTCGGTGTCAAAAGCAGCAATGCCACAGAATTACATCCAATGCTTAATTTCTACTAATCAAACAAAGCCCAATTTTAACCAGTAAACAAATAGTAAAAACTCATACACACACACGCGCGCGTGCGCGCGAGAGGAATCCAAACCAACCAACCGAACCGTAAACACAATCCGACCCAATCCCATATCACAGCTTCATACCCAGCGCCTGGTGGACCTTCAAGCTCTGTCTGATGCTGAGATCCAACATGATCTCCTCGCTACCACCGGGAATAGCGTATCCTCGAACATCTCTATATAATCGCTCAACCTTGGCTCCGACACCACCCTTTGTATATCCGAGCCCACCAAAGATCTGGGCAGCTTCACGGGCGCAGAATTCGAAGGTTGTGGTACTCTGAGCCTTCAATCCTGCGATAGCACCCCCGAGCTTCAACATTGCTTCTGTGTCGCCCATGCAGGAGCCCTGGTAGACGATGTTCTCTAGCCAGTTGTGCGTCGCTTCGATCTGGCGGACCATATGTGCCAACTTCATACGGATTACAGGGTGCTCAATGAGCTTCTTGCCGAACGTGCGGCGGCGGTTGGCGTACTTCATCGACTCCTCGTAGAGGACGCGAGAGAAGCGCGTGCACTGGATGACGATGCCAAGACGCTCGTGGTTAAAGTTGGTCATGATGACCTTGAAACCGGCGTTCTCCTTGCCGATAAGGTTTTCGACGGGGACCTTGACATCCTCGAAGGTGATGTAAGCTGTTCCCGATCCATGGACACCCTGGCAGTCCATCTCGCGGGTAGAGACACCAGGGCCGCGCTCGATGAGGAGGACAGAAACACCACCCATACCCGAGCCACCAGTACGGACGGCTACAGTGAAGTAGTCGGACCAGATACCATTTGTGATCCATTTTTCTACGAGATATTAGCACAGATTCACTGTGTTGATTATCACGGACACCTTACTCTCGCCATTGACAATATAGTGCTTGCCATCCGACGTCCTCTTGGCCTCGCAGGTCAGGTTTGCAACGTCACTACCCGCATCAGGCTCAGTGATACACAAACAGATCCTCTTCTCGCCAGTGATGATTCCGGGAACAATCCGGTCCTTAAGCTCCTTCCGACCAAACCTAAATACTGGGGGGAGACTGATCGAGTAACCGCCAATCATGTTCCATACAAACCCACCGGAACCAGTACGCGATAGCTCATCGGTAAGAATAAACTCGTGGAAGTGATCCCACTTCTCCGGAGAGACAGCGGCGACGCTATATGGGGTGTATTCCTTGGGGTACTTGACGCCAAGAAGACTGTTGAACCGTTAGTAACCGGCCAAACACAAGAGCAAAGGCAGGGGCATCAAACACACCCGGGAAGATAGCCGCGAGTACCCATCTCCTTGTAAACCTCGACAGGGACAAACTTCTGCTTCTCCCAATCATTCAAGTGAGGTTCAATCTTCTCCTCAACCCAGCCCCTAACCTCATCTCTGAGGGCAGCATGCGATGCATTGTAGTAAGGTGAATGATACTAATCGACGCGTCAGCCACAAGTCTCTAACAGCGCAATCTCAGGATATAGAATGACCCACACCCTGATACCAAGCAGGGTCGCCAAAGGGAATAAGGTCACCATAAGTGTCCAGTGCCTCCTTCCCCTCATGCGCCTCGCTCGTTGGCGCTGGGGCAACAGGCCCAGCTCGCATAGTAACAACCTGCTCCGTCTCTGCCACCCCCCTCTCCGGCTCTGGCGACGGCGGGGCCTTGCCCTCCAGAGATCCGATCTGGAGTTGTGCCTTATACTTCTTCAGAGTTCCCTCGTTGTGGTATTTCCAGAATTGCGCGGTAGCGTCCTTGCCGCCGACCCTCTGCAGGATCTTCTTTCCGCCCGGATGGTCATTTTGGAACTATGGTGCCCGCTTGTCAGAGAGTCTCAGGAGGAGATATGTTACTTTTCGCACCTTTGTAACATCGTACACGTCGCCCTCGACGATGATCCACAGCGAGTCGGGCTTCTTGTGCTCCGCAACTTCAGTAGCTTTGAACGTCTTTGACATAATCACAGCAAACAGGAATAATAACAGACGATGAGTAAGTATAGGAGAACAGAAGAGAAGGGGTGCAAGGGGTGCGAAGGGGGGGGAGGAAGGAAGGAAGAGGGGTAGAAGAAATCGGCTTGAGGAAAAAGCGCGGCGGGGAGAAAGACTCGACTTGCACGTGAGAGACACGGGGGGAAAGGGGGAACTCAAGGTGTGGGGGAAGGATACCGGTAGTCTAGCAACGGTCGATGAATCGAATGGGATCAGGAAGAGCCCCGCAAGACAGAACCCATGACATCGTTCGCAGGAGTCTTGGTCCAGGCAAGCAAAAGCAGCGATGTTCCAACGGCCAAAACGCTTTCAGCTCACATGCCTTTTTCCAACCTTCACGTGTTCTCCCCACAATATGGTACTAGTACGAGTACAGCATGAGAGAGAGCCGATTGGTTGCAACGACGGCATCGGGTCATCAGGGATATCCTCGGCAGACTCTGGTGGCACAAGCACTTGCACCTCGGCAAGAAACGAGAGGAAAGCACACAGAGCACTGCGCCAGCCGTACAGTACTCGTACGCTGTACCGTAGTCTGAGGTTGACTCAAGAAAGCCCCTGCTTCCTTCGGAGTTATCACAGAGTAAACATCTCGAGGAGTTAACAATCCCAGGAGTTTTGTTGTGGATATAATAAGAAACACCGTACCAGCACATCTCTAAACACCGACGGGCAGCTCAAAGGGTTAGATTTAGCAGCCAAGCGGGAGAGAACTTGGAGCACACGGGCAACCGTATCGCTCCGATCCCAAGTTCTGTGCACAAGCTTACCCTGACGCCGCGTGAGGTCCCGATCGCTGGGATCCGCGGTTAGAGACAGAAACACCTCGAGTGTTTACCTAACGCGGTATAAGCTGGGCTGTTGGAAGCTAGCGTACTGGATCTCGTTACTGTAACCGGTTGTGCTCGATTTCGCTAACCTGCTTAGCTAAGCCCAATGAACTTCAGCCCCGCTGCTGCTCGATACTGGACCGGCCCGAGCGGGTAGACTATTGCTAGGTATATACCTGTACTCGTAATGGGTTCAAAGAGCTGGGTTTCACAGATCCGTCGATAATTCACCATAAATTCTTACAACCTGGGCGATATCGAGCGTGCAATAGTGATGGATATGGGATTTCATTTTCTGCTATATCCCCGGTGACATGTTCGAGTAGCGGAGATGGAGATTGGGCAGTTTGGAGCCAACCATTTCTCCCTTGCCCTAGGGCGCAAAGCAAGTGATGGAGCCGATCAAGGGAAATGGGACAAAAATGCGAGGCCCATTGCACCATGACTTACTAACAGTTTACGTGCAAGTATCATTCTACCTGAGTACCGCTACAAGCAATACTGGGTCTTGCCGGCGAGGAACTGCGCCAGCTACACATGGACCGGCAGCCAAGGCGAGAGAGTAATCAGTGTAGTCTACTCGAGTACCTGATTTCTTGTCACGGGTAGGGAAAGCTTGATGGAAGTGGCTTATGGGATTTCTATCTGAGCCAAGACTTCGCCGGACTTCCCCTTTCCCCTAAAGTTGCTAAGTTGTGTTTGGGGTTGCACCGTACCCGCAATGCGCTTACGCTGCAACTAACCAATGCCATAATATCATATCATGCCCCACAGCACATTGTAAAAGTTTTGTCTCAACCTTAGGATGGTGGTTGTTGGGGGGGCTTGTTTGACGTAAAATAGATCTTCATGGGCTCAGGGCGGGGAGTCTGGGCTCTTACACCCAAGTATCAGACGACCAACGATTGCTCTTGGAGAACTTCGTGATCCTGAAAATAGGCTGGAAATCGAGTCCCGAATCCCTGCTTGTGGAGGTATGATACCACAAAATCTCGTGAAATCCACTTTAACAGGAAAAGACTAAACCTTGTCGGGTGGCTGCCAGAGATAGTGGATTTCATGAGATTCCACCGTGCATTTCGAGCTCAACCCCTCAATACATGCACTATCATCTTCTACTTAAATGCAGGTTCCAGTTTCTCCTCTTATGAGGTACCGGGCCCAGTGCTATTGGACTGGAATACCTATTCAGGAGAATACGGACAGTGGTGTGTTCACAAACATCAGAAAATGACGAGAACCTTTCGTAAATGGGGAGGCCAAGCGGGGTCATTGACCGCTCTAAAAATCTGGAATCTATAAACAGATGGGGGGAGCGGCAGAGGAAGAAAGAAGAGTGGACGGCCCGGATTCACTCCCCCCATTTCATGTGACCGTACCCGTGCGCTTTACCAAAAAAAGTTTAACTAACGGCGATTACGCCTTCAACTACTCGAGTACGATGTACACACCATGAGGGATGTAATAGTGAATCATTTCGTAGAGGATTGATATGGTACTCTTATGATACTCCCTCCACAGATTTATTTATTTCCCTTCCCTCATCCTCCAAATCGTTCAAACCCGGTTCGCGGTTGACCCGGCCAACCATGGCCCTTTTCCCAGAGTCATCTGTGATAGCACTCAGCGGAAGCCCCCCCCCCCTTCTCCTGTGCGGTAATCCAAGGCTGGCTGAACGAGGGGGCATAAACACCCTAGTACCCCATCCTCGGAAACGACGAAAGCCCGCAACGGCTGGTAACGGGCAAACCTTAACTAAGGGGCACGAAAGAAGGGTGCTTGCTATAGCTCGGAGGTATATTGACGAACTGCCATACCCCAGAAAAGAACGGGTCTCTACGTTTGTCGGTCCCGCAAGTTTACCAATACTTTACCATAGATGGGAGTATGACAAGACAGAAGAAAAAGAACCTGGAAAAGAAGATTGAAAAGGCCCTAGTCAGAGTTCGCAGGGGGCCAGGCCGGCCTGCAGATAGCCTGCAGATGCATAGTCCGGCCCGGCCAGGCTTTGGTGAAGCCTATAGGCTACATGGATGCCTAGGGGCACCGGTAGGCTTTTGGCATATGCCACCTGACCAGTAAATATTGCGTCTGTGCACCACTGATATCTGAAGATGCCTGCAGATGTTAGAAGATGCCGGCCGATATCTGAAGATGCCCGCAGATATCTGAAAGCCTGCAGATATCTACAGTCCGGCCAGGCCCGGTCAGATAGGCCAATAAAACCGGACTATGGCCTACAGTCCGGCCCGGCCGGTCACCAAAGAAGCCCAGGCCGGCCGCCCTGGACCTCAAGCCTGGCCGCTTGCGAACACTAGCCCTAGCCACAATACGTGATGAGGAGGGGAAGGGGGATCTGGATGGTGACTCGGGCAAGCCAAATGGACTCAACGAAGATCGCTCGACGGGATCAAAGGTTCTGTACCTCAATAGTGAGGGCGTCTAAAGTTGAGATTATACTGATGCTCAAGCCTGCACTAGGGATCAAACACAATGGATGAGAAAGCAGCCGGTAACACAATACCGGCATCGTTGGTGCCCCGAAAGCGAAAGGAACGTCGGCCGGTCAAAGATGGCGAATCTGTAAAACGTTGCAAAGGAAACGACCCTCCACTATTAGCTCTAATGCCAGTAACGGTTGCCCCAGGGTCAGAGTATCCGACCTCAAATCGACCCTCCCCCCCGCGGCATACTCGGATCGACTTACGGAAGGGCCACTAGACTCACTCAATATAACCCCTACAGCTTTTTTGACCGCCCTTCCGAAAATTCAACCTTCATCTATGAGAGAGGGTTTTGCAATGGTCCCAGATGTTACCTGGGCGGATATCGGGGCCCTTGATTCACTCCGGGTTGAAATGCAGACCGCCATCGTGCAGCCAATCAAGACGCCTGAACTTTTTGCTAGCGTGGGGATCACTGCACCAGCTGGCATACTCCTTTGGGGCCCTCCGGGGTGCGGTAAGAGCTTGCTAGAAAAAAAGCTGTTGCGAACGAGAGTAGGGCAAATTTCATCAACGTACAAGGTCCGGAGTTACTTAACAAGGTTTGGCTTCTGATTTCAGTATCCCACAATTGCAAGGCCGCTACTAACCAGCACAGTACGTCGGGGAATCAGGGCGGGCTGTACGTGAAGTTTTCTCACGGGCCCGAGCTTCCATTCCATGTCTTAGCTTTTTTGATGAGTTCGATGCTCTAGCTCCTCTTCGCAATGCTAGTTTTTCGGTATCCACTTCTCGTGTAGTAAATACACTTCTCGTAGAATTGGGTGAACTTAGTAGCCGTAAGGGAATCTATGTCATTGCGGCGACTAATAGACCCGATGCCATCGATCCAGCAATTCTCAGCCCGGGAAGATTGAATACGCTTTTGTTTGTAGGTCTTCCAAACACGGAGGGGAGGGTGGAGATTTTGAAAACTATCACCAAAAAGACACCCCTCTCCAACGTCGATCTAGGGGCTATTTCCAGGGATGGCAGGTGTAGGGATCCCAGGTCAGTCTCTCTCAATAGATCCTCCCTCTTCCATACTGATGTTGTGTTAGTGGCAGTGTTCTCAACCGTCTGGGGCCCCCGTAGGGCTCCACGGAGGGACTGCCAAGAGCCCGGGACGGGACAGGACCGCAAAATATAGTCCCCCCCCCCGTCCTTGAACTCCTAGGACGGCCGTCATGAGGAAGGACGATGAGCCCCACCATCTGAGACAACTTCTGGTAGGGGACGGTGGGGGGCGGTGGGGGACTGCGGGGAAGGGCTGAGGGTTTAAGGGATGGCAGGGGACGGTGGGTGACTGTGGGTGACGGCAGGGAACTGTTAGTGAATGGTCCTTTGCTCTTATGTGTCGGGCAAGTTCAGGAAAAGACGGGACGGGACGACACAATGTAGTCCGTCCTGGTCCTTCATTTCTAGCTGTCGGACATGTTGAGAAAATGACCGGACGGACTGCCCCGTTGCGGACACTGGTTATTGGCGCATATTTGGTGGCATTGGTGAAGGAGGTCTCGGTTCTGGCTCTTGTACGGGATAGTCCCACAGATGTCCCGGAAGTTAGGGAAGGCGGAAACACTAGTAACCGCCAAGTAGTGGTCACAGCGGAGGACTTTGAAAAGGCCTTCGCAGACGTCGGGCCTTCGCTGTCTGTGGACAATAGGGAGAGGTATCGGGAGCTGGCCGCCACATTCGGTCGTGGAAGGGTGGTGGGCGCGGGGATGGGACATTCTAGGCCGACTTGTGATAGTTTGCCAAATACATATGAAGCTTGAAGGGGAAAAGAAAAACCCCCCGAAAGCTCCCAAACCCTAGGTAAATAGATGTACCATTCCTTTTATGATAGTAGACTATATGACTGGTATCGTAGGTTGCGGCATCTAGGACTTCCGATTTCCCTATGTACAAGGGTAGAAAGGCCAGGTGATCTCTTGGCTGTTTTTTCCCACTAACTTTAACCCACAAACTAGTGGCACAAGTGCGAATAATGCAAGAGAATTTGGAGGGCAACAGTGTAAACGCCGCCAACCCGGACTTCGAGCTCGGGAGTATTAGCCGGTTGCCCTCCTACCGGTATTTCGCTTCGCTCAGAGTCGGTAGAAGCAAGTGCGACACAACCTTTTTTTTTTTGGCATGATAGTTCATGACTACATACCAGTGGAGCGGAGAATAATACAAAATTTTGAGATCCTGGTTAAAGGAAGCTACTATAGAAGGGGAAAATAGCCTGAGAAGGAGAAGGGATCACTAATAAATTTAGCAGTGGAGGTAGAATTCAAAAGTTATTGTCAAATCTGAGACCAATTTGATGGTTATACTAAGATAATAACCTGAACATAAACTAGTAATTATAATGCAAGGTCGAAAATGTATATTGGTTTAACAAAAGATGAATAGCTCAGCGCTTTACTCTACATACCAACTTATAAATTCTATTGAAGTGTATCATGAATTATCACATTAGAGAAAATGTTGTGTCACACTTGGTTCTGCCGACTACCGTACAAGTATGAGCGAAGCGGAATAGGAGGGTAACCGGCTATTAGAAGTTTTAAATTGATTTCCAAATAGCTAACTTAGGGCTTCCCGATTAGGCTCAATAGCCAATTGCAAAACTTGTTATGGGAGTAAATTATTTGTCTACTCACCCGGTAAAGGTCCTCATGACGCACCAAGTGAGAGACAAAACATCTCGAGAAGGAATGGTGTTTGCCTAACGTGGTATAGCTTTAGCGTTCTTGGCCTCCTGGATCTCGTTAACTGGTGTGCGTTATTTCGTTAAGTTGCTCAGCTAAGCCTGTTAGAAATTAGCTCTGCTGCTGCTTCTTGACAGTGGGTTTTCTAGGTGGAGCCAGGGCTTTGGCCGGATTCTTCTCCCCGCTGCGCTACTCAAGGGATATAGGATCTCATCTTCAACCATACCTTTGGAGACACAGTGGAGATGGAGCTCATGCAATTGGGAACCAACTCTCCCTTTCCCTGGCTACTGGAGCGTAAAGTAAGAGATGGAGCTGATCAACGAAAACGGCATACTAAAATCGGAGGTCAATTACACCGTCAGTTACCAGTTGTTTACATGAAAGTATCATTCTACTTGAGTACCGGTATGAGCAATAGTAAATCTTGCCGGAAAGGCACTGTACCAGCTACACATGGACCGTCAGCTAAGGCAAGAGAGTAATTAGCGTACCCGAGCACCTTATTTCTTGATGGAAGTGGGTCACGGGACTTATCTCTGAGCCTTAGGATGAATTGCAACACTAAGACATACCCCATAAACCTGGATATGAGAAACACGTCTTAGGACGTCTGACTTTCCTGTTTCGGCGGGGACGCAAGAAAATTCCGGCAAAACAAAACCGTGCGTTACCCCGAGGGGCAGCCCGGTCGTCCTCAAAGGTGGTTCTCTCTATCAAGTCAACACTAATACCTCAGATCCCTGGCCCCAGCTCCTCCGGGACTGCAAAAAAAAGGAGAATCATAGCAGTCCGACACATCTAAAATGTTTTACACAAGTCAGAAAACACTCCAGAGCCGAGAAAGAGGTCATCGGAGCAGAAGACTAGGGAAAATAGCAATCGCCCTGGATCAATCGAAGGAGCATCATGATATATCACTCGCCCAAGGTCCGAATTTCAGCTTTTCAAACCCAAGTGATGGATCATCCTAGGAACCATTAGTGGAAAGCGGATCGCAGTACCAGTACCGGTACCCGAGCACGTCCTGAACAGGACTAAGGCACCCAACCACGGGTCCGATAGTTTTAGCCCGCAGAAGAGAGTGCAAGACTACTGGTGATACAGTGAAAACCCGCTCACGTTGGCAGACCCCGACCATACAACCGTACTTGTACCCCGTCCCCTACAATCCCTAGAAAATAGACTCACTTGGGGGGAGCATACCTCACCTATTTTGTCCTGGCGATCGTACAATTTCTATCGGGGTCTCGCGGGCTTGCTGGGAGGGAAAACCGTTCTGCAAATAACGTCCGCTTTGAGTAAAAGAGACTATACAGCCTCCGGATCTTTTGGGGGTTGGCTGGCCCCGCGAAAAATACTTTGCCATATTATTTTTTTCTTCTTTTGTCACCGAAACGAACCTGGGTTTTTCCACCTTTCTCAACGACGGCATTGTGAGTTGTTGATATTTCCTCCATCTCACCTTATCCAAGCTAGAGAGGATACTCCCGCATTCCTTTTTTTTTCCTGAATTAATTTGAATGCTTGATCGGGGATGTCTCTCCAGAAGGTGGTGGTCGTGGTTTCTATTGGTGTGGTAACCTGACGATGAAGAGAAGAAATTGGCACCTAGACAGACAGAGTCTTCCAGGCACCCTGATACCACCTCGCCTATAAACAGCTGAATCGGAACAAGAAACCTTTTCCTGTGGTTTAATGTACTTGGATCCGCTCCGGTAACCGTGCTGGTTCGGGTTGGAGGGAATCTACTTTCTTTCCCAGAACCTTATTTTTCACAGGCTCCCATTAGGAGGGACCATTGTATCCCGCGATCGGGCTCTGAGTGGCACGGGTTGAGACCAATCTACTGGATAGGTTGTGGACCTTCCGGGGGTATTGTAATGCCAGATACTGTAATCAAGACAACCGTAACCTTCACTGCTCTCTGCTCATTACCATACACACACCACCCCCCCCCCCCAGGGCTCTGCCATATCATACATCAGACGTTACGAGAAAAAGTCCGCAGTGCACAATCCAGGCCGACTTTGGCCAAAAAAAAAAAGCAACAACGAGGGAAAGCCACGATAGTTTAACCTTTACGGCTTTTGTCGGTAGTGCGCCCACTAGCTTTGGTGAAAGTACTCGAGTATCGACCTTGTATGCAAAAGTTTTTTTTTCTCCTTTGTGGGGGTTGCGGGGTCCTATCATGATCCTGCATAATGTCACACTCGGTGAAAAGATAGATATTTTGCATAAAATTATGTCGGTTTTATTATATAGCAACGATGTTGCAGACTTCAGAGGGAAGCCCAGGGAAAACGTTCCGACCTGGAGACCAAAAAAAAAAAACCCTAACTCCAAGAGTCCCTTTATGGCCCCGAGCTAATCCAAATTATGATACTGCTCTAAGGCGCACACAGGAACGGAGGAGGTTTCAGTCCGAAAATTGGCAACAGATCACGAAATAGGCCATAAATCTCGACCGCGGCCCGGGGGCCAATGATTTCCCCAAAGGGGATCTCCGTCACGATGTTATCTTGGGGGGGAGGGTTATTTCGGCACTTTTTTCCATTTGTGATGCGTTACAGTATGATGCTAGTATGGTACTAACAAGCACAGTTCAAGTGAGGACTTATGATACCGCAGAGTATCAAGGGATCAATCAACTGCTACTACTACCACCGTATACCGTAGACTACTACCGGTACGATGCGCCAGACCTTCGGCTCAATCCTACGAGATGGTGGGCGAAAGGCTTAGTTAAATTTATTAGGGGCTGGGTGATTCGAGTATGATACAGTACGATGCGGCCAAGCCTGAGAATTAGCCTAAGGATCATGGACCATCACCCTGATTCGTGATTCCTAAAACGCCTATACGGTACTCGAGCACCGTAGAAGGGACAGCAGCCACGGACCATGACGTGGTGACGAACCTAACCGAAAACTGAGCCAAGATTGATACTACTTGTATCACGCACGCCCAGAGGTTCAAAGTCGGACGGTAGGCGGTCACCAACTCCCCATTGGCGCACATAAACCGCAACCATGGCGCCCCTCGAAAATCCGAACAAGAACCCAATCCTCCTCCAAAAGACTTACAGTGCAGAGCCCGATATAGCAAATCAGGAACACGTACGACACCAGTCTACCAGAGCCCTACAGAATTTGGGTGCGATGGAGAGCAAATTGACGTCCGGATCCCAGATTTTTTGCTTAGGGTTCGAGATTCAAATGGGTTTTGGGAATGGTACAGGTTTTCTGTTTCGGCGAGCGGAGCGCACCACCAAATAGCTGATAGAGGAGGAGAGGGTTAAAGTAGGGCGGGCGAGCGGCGCTGACCGGCCAGTGGGCTGGGATTACTAGGATTCAACTGATTAGTTGCTGGCGGTAGCCATGTCCTTGGGTTGGGTGTGCTTTCGGGTATTCCACGATTGTATAGATCCAGCATTGGTAAATTTACATGCAGTGATAATATTTATATATACGGGTAGCACCACAACCCTTTTGTAATGTCTTTTTCAAATCCGCCAGAGGTCTGGGCGATGGGGGTGGGGTTTACTGGGATAGTGGGGCATGGTGTTCAGATGCCCGCTTCACGGATGCCGGCATTCCAAAGTTTTCAGACACTCCAACGGAATCGGGAACACCAGTCATGTTCAAAGAAATTGCCCTGAATTTCCCAAGCGCAGCAGCCACCAGAGTACCTTCAAATCCCCCACCTCACAATTTCCCGTCTCCATCAAATACCCTCCCCTCTTTCCCCGCTGCCGAGCACATGCGTCCTTTAAGAGGGGATCTCGCCATAAGCGACCAGGACGAGAATCGCCCCATAAAGGAAAATGGTTGGCAAAATCAGGGTCACAGGCGCGAGCTTCACAACCATCTTGGCAAGCCTCTTCCACCTATCCGTTTCTATGCTCTTCCACGCCTCCACGAACGTCAAGTCTCTGCCATCGTCAGTCCTTCCAAAGGTGCGGTCGAACGGGGCGATGGGCTCCAAGTTTTCAGGGAGGTGCGAGGCCTTAACACGGACGAGGGCGACGGATGCCGGGAGGATAATGCCGAGGTAGAGGAGGAAGGCCGCCAGGGTGGCGATGAGGCAAGTGGGTCCATCGGCTCTGAGGTTAGCAAGGCCGTTAATGAGTTCCGTGCTGAGGTAGGCGAGGAGTGTGACAATTGCAACGGCTGGAAGGGTCTTTCGGGCAGTGGACCAAGGGGTCGACCTCATTCGGGTGAACCAGTTCGCGGCCTGGGGCTTCGAGATCACAATGCTTCGGTTCACAATTAGCACTCTTTCACACATTAAGGGTGGAATGGAGGGGACATACTGCGTGCAAACCATGGCAAACCGTGCTAATACAAGACCGTTGGCGAGACCACTGATGATCCTCGTAAGGGAGCCCGGGAAGACCCGCCCAAGCAAAATCTGACACATCACGTTGAGAGAAGTATAGGCAAAGGTATAGAAGAGGTGCGCAACGAAACCTCTCCAGAGAGCAAAGAAGCCGCCCTCGGAACGCAAGTGACGGAGGGTTCCAAGGAGAGAAGAGGTGATATAGTGCCTCTCCTCGGTATCGATTCCAAGAACGGCCGCCGCCTTGCGGTCGCTCTGGGCGAGAGGGAGGTAAGCTGCGGTGGGGTCTTCGATGGCAGTAAGGGTTATCAAGATGGCAGCGGTGTACTGCATCTGTTGTTTATTCCCAGCATCAAATCAGCTTTTCCGCTCAGTATTCCACGATAGTGAAAAGGGGGGGAATAACAAACCGCAAAGATGGAAAGCCCAAGGAGAACGAAAACAGCCACGATGGAAAGAGCGGCATAGTCCATTTCATGTTCCCTGGGGTAGCCACCCCTCTTTACCAAACCCGTCGTGGTTTCGAAGAGCAAACCTGCCCTCTCTGAGCCGACCTGGAGAGCGGGTACGACGGTGCCCAGGAACCACTCCCCAACAGAGTGTATCATGATTACGGTAGCCGGGCTGAAGCGTTCAAGGAGAATAGCGAAAATCTGAAGGGATTAGAAAAATGTAAAGGATTTGTGGAGAGAGCGTGGTGGTGCTGACTGCTATAGGGGGTAGAGGTGATATATCGAGGTTTTTGTGGCCGTCTCCCGGAGGGAATAAGGTGATGGGGAAGAAGTTTGTCGAACCAAACACGGTGGGCAGTGCTGAACCGGCAGGGACGCAGTGGTGGTGGTGGGGTCCCGAGTCGGCGCGAACTATTGGTCTCAGCCAGGGCTTTTGGCGCGAGGAGTTTCCCGGTAACGGTAGCAGCCAAGTCTTCGATATTAATACGAGTCTTGGCTTTGTATGGGCGCACGGATAAGCACAGATATCTTGGCATATCCTGACATCGGATACCGTACGGCGTACTTCTTGCTGTCACCATTCAAGGGCATTTCAGTGTGTTGGTCTACCGTACTCTTGGTTAAAAGTGGTATGTTTTGGATGACTTTTTGCTGTGCTAAGAATCCCTGGGAAATTGCAAAGCCACTTTACCCCGTCGCTCACTTCATGCTAGGAGAGCGTTGGAAAAACGTCAGCAAGCTTCCTTTCAATCCATTTGCTTTGTTTGAGGGAGGTATCATATATTTCCCCATCGATGGTATCCGAAAGGGTTTACCGCCAAAGGCATAGCATCACATTTTTAACTATATCGCAGATCCTCCTATTCGGGTTGCTTGGCCTCCCGGTTAGCACCAGTACGATACCGGAACCGCACCGCACTGTATCTCGTACTATCATGCAGGGAAATGGAACACTTGGGGTACGAGTAAACTTGTCCTGGCTGTAGTAAGTTTTCATCCACCACCACCATGATGATATCCACTTCGTGATAAAGGTCTCGCCGCATCCCCCATTCCCGAACTCAAAACACTTGAGCCGCGTGAAGTGCCAGTTAGGGGCAAGAAATGCTGGAACGCAGGCGGACTATTGTGCGGGGGGACTCGGTTTGGCGTACGGTACATTTTTTCACAAGCCCCTATTTTTTACCGTATCATGCCCCGATGACCAAGCAAGCCAAGAGTATATATTTACTACAACTCGCAAGAACCTCCGGCGGGCATTCGTGCAACCGGTTTCGAGTTTCTTTCGTGGGTCGTGCTCAGAGGGCGCCCGCCCTTCTCGAATGCCGTACCGTATTTGTGCGGTGCAGGATCTCCTTTCCCGGGATCGAGTGGGGGGGAGGGCATACCGGCACAGCACTGCACACGGTCGCGCACAGAAAGCACCCCACGCGGCAAGCATAACATTTGTCCGGGCACTGCACTTGTGTGGTACCCGAGTATGGTGGTTATTATTGGAATGATTTGTTGCTGTGAAGCTTACTCGCTGTTGGGATATTGCTGATGGGGGGTTAAAGGTTTGGGCAGTTTCGTGCCCGGATTTTAGTGACAGAGCATGATACGGTGCGGGTGCCCGAATGAATTTTCGTAAAGGGTGCAAAGGTACTGTACGAGTACTCGTACAGGTATCGGTCGCCAATCGGTCCCCAAAACAGCTATCCCGATGCTCATGCGAGGATCGTTTGCTTCAGTATCATGAGTGAAATCTCTCATGACTCGCTATCCTCGACAGGCCCAAGGCTCCGGATGAAGAGACTTGAGCTCCAGGGAAGGGTTAGTGCTTTAATTAGTGGTACGACGGCCTGAGCCCTTTGGACACGTTGTATGATATCCCATTACCTGGTGTGACATTCGCGATCCTGCTGGCTTGTCAAACCAAGCTCGTCGTAGGCTGATGCCAGGACATCCGCCGATAGTCCGTCAGCAAATCCCAAGAGATTTACGGTAAGTTGGTCCCAATCAATGGTGCGGGTGCCGTAGCGGGTCCATGGTCCGCGGGCGGTGCAAAACAACTCTGCTGATACGGATTGAAAAGTGCTCTACCAGTACTTAAACCCCCCACTTGGCTCCTGACAATTGCACGTTAGTATACGCAGCCGTTCGTGCAGCTTACTTGTCAGTTATCACATTCGATATCAAGGCGGCATCGGTGCAATGTGGACTGTGTGATTTGGATATCGTAGCACGAGCAGGCTATGCTATCCTATTTGCCCCCCGTGAGCCCTCCTATGGTGTTCGAGCACTTCCCGGTATGAAAAGTTGAACCTGCGAGGAGGTTTAACCGAGGGGATAGCGCTTGGCTGGTAAGGCTTCGTGGACAGTCGGAGGTAAACTATATGGTATGATGTCTGTGGAAACGGGAGGCTGGGCTTATCGCGTTGATCACTAATGGTTTTAATGCAGCCGCTTGAGTACCGTATTCGTATGATAATACCTATGGAGTCTCGCCGTGGATGAATTGGCGTGGGCTACTTCGGTCCGCGGCCGGCCAAATTTTTGGGGTCGGTGGTAGGGTAAAGAGCTCCTTTTCAAGAAATTCCCAAAGGCTTAGCTCATCTCATAACTCTGGAGATTTCGAAAATACCTTTGAAAGTTCGGGCAACAGCTACCGCTTATTTGAAATATGCCTGGAGGGTTGAGGCGTTGGGGGTGTCCGCGTAAGAGCAAGGTTATCTTGGTTACGCCTCGAGAGTTTCAAAATACACCATATCAAAAGTAACCTCTGAAGTGGAAAGATGGAAAGGGCGGAAAAATGAATACGATTCCTAGTGATATGGCTCCGAGTCTCCTCCAGGAAACCCATTCCCGGCACATCAGAATCCCATTGTATTTGGGAGGGAAGTACAGCAATAAATAATCCCCTATGAAAAAACCCTCACTCCCCGCCACCTTTTATTCAAGTGGCTTGTGTCTTACAGTAGCAACGAGCATAGTAGACTACTAAGATTTCTGTAGTATTCGGTAGTCTACGGATAGGATCAGCAGCTAGAATTACACAGCCCCCCTCATATTTTAGCTTTTCATGTATTTCATTCACTGTATACCGGTAGCCCGAGAACGGATTAGCTAGTTACCACTTTTTGCTGGATTCAGTTCAATTGACAACTTGGACTTTCAGGTTTGGCGCTTGGCTGTGTACCGGTATCTCCGAGCTCCCTGGGGTTATCCCCTATCCCATAGATTGTAGTGGGCCACTCCAAGAAGGGCACTAATCAAAACGGGACGCCTACGAAGCCCAGTAACCCATTTTGCCTACCGTAGCATCATATTTATACCGTTTGGACCTGTCGATTGATACCTGAGACCTAAACCCTAGTTAATATATCTGGGTAACCCGGTGGGGGGGGAGCTAGGTATGCACTGAAAGTGGCCCGCTCTCCGGGGAGAATGCGGTTCTGGATACCATGACATATGAGGGTAAGGTTCTAGCAGCAACATTTACCGTATTGTAGCAATTTTCATCACGCTAATGCATAAACACCCTTGCCCCCCGGAACGCTAAAAGTGGGCCACTTTTTCAACAGACTATGGGATAGGGTTTGATAGTGCCGTATTTCCATATATCATACCACGCCAAAGTTTAACTAGCGAGTTTAACTGGCTTTTCACTACTTTGGGAGATATAAACCCCACTGTCTTCATCGCGACGTTGGGCGGGATAGCGGCGAACCGTTAAAATGGAACTGGAGTTCCGATCATGTAGACAATCCCGGGTGAGAATGTGGAAAGCGGTCTGAAGTGGGTTCTTGTCTTCGCGATGTCTCTGTTCCTCCATGGTATCTCTTAGGTTTTTATCTCCTGAAGAAATACTGAGAGGCTTATTATGTATGGAAAGTGAGTAATGAGACAGTGTGCATGGCCGGATGGCGCAATGGTAGCGCGCAGTCCTCCTAAGACTGAGGCTCTGGGTTCGAGTCCCAGTTCGGTCGTCGCGATTTTTTGTTTTTTATCTTGGTGATGTAATGGAACCGTACGGTATTATTTGTTTGTGCTAGGTGGGTTAAGTTAGGAGCTAACTTACCCATAACATGGGCTGGTTTCTAGAGTTCTAGCATATATCTGACTAAGAGATATTGATTGATAGAGGACGAAGTATCACACCAGCGAATACTATCGCCATCAACATTCCCTTTAATCAGCATCATCGCCACCGTTTAAACTTTATTTTTCATGACACCGGATCGCTTTTCTCCCTTCCTCACTGCGTTCCTCCATCTTGGCGATTTACTAGATTCTCCGGCCGCAGTAGAGTGGCTACCTACTCTTTTCTGACCCGAGGGCGCTGTGTGGGAGCCTTGCTCGATGTTTACTCGGTATTCGTTGCACTTATGACGTCTTAATAGGGTGAACTATCGGTGCCTTTGGGAGGCCTTGGATAGGCCCGGATGGATAGGGGGGTTGGAGAACCTGGAAGGGGTAGTAAGTAAGTTACGTGACCCTTGGGGTTAGTCACGTCACATCACTCGGCTGTCTGCTTCGGAAACAAATTATAATTCGTAGAGGGGAACACGCTACTAGGTTTTGTTTATGCTAGTAGCAGTTGGGAGTGGCTTTACAATAGAAATTTAACATTTGCCATTTGGAAGCCCGATAATGGTTAGCGAGATGAGTGTATCGTGGTGTCTGCCGTATAATATGCGTGGCTGCGCCAATGGGGATCGGCGTTGGCGGAGGAAACGAAGGGGTGCATAGGCTTCTGCCATCGGGAAACAATCCTCCTGGAGCGTAACCTGAGATGGTGAGCTGTTCAGTCGATGGCGAGCCAAGCGGCCCCTTAGAGCTGCATCCCTAATGCCGTACACAGCGCCTTACTGTAAGATCTCGCACATAATTAGCTGGCCCGGGGCAGAGCTCGAGGATTTCTGAGCAGTGCATTGTGCAGAAAAGGGTCGTAGTCGGTTAATAATTTGTTATTCTTTTCGTTGATTTCCTTTCCATGCGTACAATCCTGTTTTTAAGAAATGAGCATTGGATGAAGAAGACCTGTGCTTTGATTGTATAACTTTTGAATAATTATTTTTACTGTCTGAAATCTTGTTTTTCTGAACTTTAGATGG